TCACGAACCGTTGACCGGGGTGAAGACAGAATCCAAGACGGAGGAGAAGTGGAAACTCAAGGATCGCTAGGCTCTAGAGTTGATCCGGTTGACTTTGTCAAGAAACGGGGCGTTCAACATCGTGAAGGAGAAGACTACGTCCGGTCTATTGAAGGCACTGTCAAACATGTATGAAAAACCATCGGCTATGAACAAGGTATATTTGATGCGTAGATTGTTCAATTTACAGATGTCTGAGAATGGATCCATTTCTGATCATATAAACGAGTTCAATATGATTGTGAGTCAACTCAATTCTGTGGATATTAATTTCGAGGATGAAATTAAGGCGTTGATTTTGATGTCATCTCTGCCCGAGTCTTGGGATACTGTTGTTGCTGCGATTAGTAGTTCTCGTGGATCTGAGAAACTGAAGTTTGATGAAATCTGTGATGTTGTTCTTAGCGACAGTATTCGCAAACGAGAAGTGGGAGATTCATCGGGCAGTGCTCTCAGCGTTGATCGAAGGGGGAGAAGTAAGACGAAAGGCCAAAATCAACATAGTCGATCAAAATCAAAGAATCGAGGAAAATCCCTGAACAGATCAAACGTGACTTGTTAGAACTATGGAGAAAAAGGGCACTTTCAGATGAACTGTACAAAACCAAAAAAGAAACAGAATCAGAAATTTGGAGATGACAATGATTCTGTAAATTCAGCAGAAGACATTGGGGATGCTCTAATCCTTAGTGTGAACATCCCGGTTGAACCATGGATTTTGGATTCTAGTGCATCTTTCCATTCGTCTCCAAGCAAGGAGTTGTTCCAAAATTTCAAATCTGGAAATTCTGGAAAAGTATATCTTGCTGACAATAAAGCCTTAGAGATTGAGGGAAAGAGGGATGTTTGCATAAAGACCACCTCGGGAAACCAGTGGACATTGGAGGATGTCATATATATTCCTGGGATCAAGAAAAATCTTATCTCTGTTGGTCAGTTGGATAGCACGGGATATGCAGTAGAGTTTGGGAAAGGTTCGTGGAAGATCGTGAAAGGTGCTATAGTAGTAGCTCGTGACACCAAATCTGGAACCTTGTACACCACTGCAGGGTGTATAAACATGGCCGCTGTTGCTGAAGGTGCTTCCGGTTCATGTCTGTGGCATAATAGACTTGGACACATGAGTACTAAAGGAATGAAGATGCTGGTTGCAAAAGGAGCATTAGAGGGTCTGAAGTCTGTTGATATGGGTCTGTGCGAGAGTTCTGTTATGGGCAAACAGAAAAGAGTAAGATTCACAAAGACTCCTAGAGAGCCAACGAAAGTACGGTTGGAAACGGTCCATACAGATGTTTGGGGACCATCTCCAGTATCATCACTTGGAGGATCCAGATTTTATATTACCCTCATTGATGATTTCAGCAGGAAGGTATGGGTTTACTTCTTGAAACATAAATCAAATGTGTTTGCAACTTTCAAGAAGTGGAAAGCTGAAGTTGAGAATCAGACCGGTTTGAAAGTCAAATGCCTAAGGTCTGACAATGGAGGAGAGTATGACAAATCAGAGTACAAGGCATTCTGTGCAGCTGAGGGAATCAGATTGATGAGAATTGTTCCTGGAAAGGCAAGGCAGAATGGAATTGCTGAGAGGATGAACAGAACATTGAATGAGCGTGCAAGGAGTATGAGGATACACTGTGGGCTGCCCAAAACACTTTGGGCGGATGCTGTGAGCACAGCTGCATACTTGATCAACAGGGGACCATCAATTCCTTTAGGGTTTAAGATTCCAGATGAGGTGTGGACAAGAAATGAACTCAAGTACTCACACTTGAGAACTTTTGGTTGCACTGCTTATGTTCATCTTGATCCAGAAAAAAGAGACAAGCTTGATGCCAAGGCTGTGAAGTGTTACTTCATAGGATATTGTTCTGATTTGTTTGGTTACAGATTTTGGGATGACAAAAACAGAAAGATCCTGAGACATTGTGACGTGACATTTGATGGGTCTGTCCTGTACAAGGACAGAGAGCAGAAGGTTCTAGAGATTACAAAGCAAGTGGGAGTTGAGGCTGACTTGGAGAAGATAGAGGTGCAAACAACCCGACAGACATGTTGACGAAATGTGTTGATGTTGGAAAACTGAGGTTATGTAAAACCTCGGTTGGTCTTCTATAGTTGTTGCTACAGATGTTGCGGTGCGGTAAAGATGTTGATGATGAAGAGATTTTTTTTGAGAATGTATTTTTTGGATGACTGAGTCAGTGTCCAAGTGGGAGAATTGTTAGGTAGTGGAGCCTGATTAATTTTAAGTTTTCCTATTTATTCTCTATTTTAGGTTTTCCTATTTATTCTCTATTTTAGGTTTCCCTATTTAATCTCTGTAACCAAAGATACTCTCATTTTATTAATATAAATATACCTCACCGCCGTGGAAGTTAACTCACGGGGTGTTACCACGAAATGTTGGATTTTCTCTTTCTCTCTCTAGATCTCTCATCTCTTTCTCTTGAAAGTTCTTATGTTCTTCATTCATCTAGTGTGTGTCCGTGAATTCGATCCTAACAGGTGGGTGGGGCTCAAGAATTAGGAAAAAAATTAAAATTGAATTTTTTTTAAAAAATGTTGTTTTTCCAAAAACAAATGTAATTTGAAATTGGTGGAGAGTTTTGAAAAATGTTTTCCTTAATTTTTGAAAGGAAGTCATTTTTCTTAATTTAGACGAAAATGAGTTTATTTGAAAAACATTTTTCAAAACTTTTGTTCCAACTAAACATGAGAAAATTGAAATTTCCTTTCATACCAAACACACTCTTAATCTAAACATTTAAGCCCCAACTCATTCAAAGAGAAAATTGTAATTGAGAAGGTAGAAGTAACCACATAAGTACGCTATTGTTGTTTACGAACATATTCAAAGAAGCAGAACCTATTCGTTTTTCTGTATTTCAAATTTCAATTAAGCAATGGTTCTTTCTTTTCCATACTGTATGGAAAACTTAGCAATTTTATAGAAAGAAAAGACGCTATTACAGAAAAAATAAGAGGAAGCTTATGTATGTTATTATACAGATATGAAACTTGTGGTACAATGAGTTATCGTACTTTCAGGTTAACATGTAGAACCCCTGTAACATTTAATAGTTTTTTTTCATGACGAGAAACAACTTTTATTTCTTCTTTTGTCACTTCAAGCCAAGGATGATACAAACGGTTGTTACCTCATTTCCTTTGTCAAATAAGTTTTAAAGGACCCATAAAATCACAACACACTGATCTTTATAGAGAAAGAATAGCAAATTCTGGCCATCATCAAAAAAAGAAGAAAAAAGAATTGCATCTCTGGGATATAAATCTTTCATATTGGTTTACGGAATGCGCACACACAAAAAGATTAAGGACAATGCAATGCATTTAAGGGCATAAATGATCTGTATACCAGGGCAGACTAAAAAGGCAAAAAACTTAGATATCAAGAAATCATGTTAATAAAGTTGGAACTGTATCATACCTCCAACAAGAAAACACGTGGAAGAGAATTGATGGTATCTTTAAACATAGAACGAAATATATTTTGACAAAAGCTTTTTGAGGTTTTGGTTCCTCTGTGATGATAACATAAATACGAATTTAGTAAAGACTCATTCTTGGGATACAGTTGCTAGAATGTCAAAAGGAGAGCAAAGGTTCACAGTTTCCAACTAAGTGAAAATAATAAATAAGCTAACAACCTTTTCACCTAGTAGAACTTGAGAAAATCATTCAATACCAACCTACCATGGAACCACAAACCATTGAAATACAAGGAATGCAAAAGGAGGTAGATGATAGATAGTTGTGACTTACTTCCCACCATCTCCATGACTCCTCAAAAGCGCAAAGAAGTTCGGTAGACATAATCCAGCAACTTATAATAGTCACACAGTCATTCTAAGAAAAATCGTCTCCCAGATTTCTTTTTCTTTTAGATAATGCAAAATTAAATACATTAACAAAGCGCAAATAAGGTGCTGCAACAATACATACAACAGAGTACAAAGATCAACTTATTTCTCAGCTACGAAGAAACGTTTCACTTTTAAAACAAGAATTGGATCACTATGCCGGATCAAAGCTTAAAAGTCATTAGCCCTGAAACTTCACAGATGGAGACATTAAAACTATGCACAACTTTTACATAGAAGAATGTCCCATTATTTTCAATTTGGTAATAAACATTTTCACATGCTAGAAGAAGAATTACATGTCAAGTGGAAAAGCTCAACGTTAAATCCCTTCTGAGGTTTTTGCGCGTCTACTCTAACCACTACCTAATAATATCCTTTTTAGTTAATAGATTTAAAGTAAAAAAATGTCCGATATATATATAGTTACATTTAGTATAAGAAAACCAAAAAATTCATTCTCAAGAGTTGATTAACTATAATGCAACTAATGTTCCGGATTAAAGTACCTCCTCCATCACACGTCTTATATGCCAATACAGGAAGAAAATTTAAGAGGTTTACTCTATAAGACATTATAATTTCCTAGAAGTATCATTTGAATATGATCATTTATCTTGAAAGTATTAATACATTGGTAAGCTCTTATTATTTATTGTAGAGTCACACTAGAGAATCGAACAAATAGTCTCGCTTCAACATTGATTGTTTCATCATATGGTATCTCATTCCATACAATAACAAGATGGGGTTTGGGAGAGTAGAGTGTTAGCAAACTTAACACAGAATTAAAGATGGTTTCTGATAGACCCTCAGCTCAAGGAAAAACAAAGCAAAGAATCCCGGAAGTAGAAGAAATACAAATCAACATTTAATTTCACTGTAATAAACACCAGTGGTAGAAATATGGCTATAATATATCCAAAATTCAAACACATAATTTACTGTTATTATAATATCAAAAAATAGTTAGTCAAAAAAACAAATTTCCTAGATGATGAAGCTATACGACTTATCTGTACTTCCTGGATGTCAACACTTGGTTTTTTTCAAACTAATTGAAATTAGATGACAACATAAATGGAAGATAGTAACAGCACAATACGATAACAGGACAAGAAACTAGCCATAGTAATATTTTGTAGAGAGAATATATAGTTGTTGGTAAAAAGGGTTTTTTCAGAAGAGTCAAATTTCATAGAAACAGATTTCTTGCCCAAATAAATAGAGTAAATTCATTGAATTTGAGATTTGGGTTTAGAAATAGGAAAAGGAGGCAAGCGCAGGAGAGCTTCCTCAGTCTCAATTGGGTCTGATCTGAGTATCTACAAACATAAACAAACAAAGCAAGGATGGTTAATTGGGAAGGAAGTTAACAGAGAAGCTATTGAATGAAATGGAGAATCACTTACTGGGTCTTGAAGAAGTGGCTTTGTGTCATCTTTTGCGGGTCTGAAAGGGGGTTTTGTTATCTTCTTCACTTCGCCTTTCCCATTCTTGTTAGATTCCTCGCCTCCCTCCATAGCCTTTTTACTCTTACGCCCCACTATCGTTTCTAAATCACAAACAAAGAGCTTGTTCAGTTGTTTTTACCTCCCTGAGTTTATGATTTTCACGACTTCAAATATGAGTTCCGAGTTAAAACCGAAAATTCTCAAAGTTTAACTTAAAAGGTGTCTATGTCTAATTGTCATAATTTTATTTTTATAGTCAAATTATGAAAATTTAATTCAGATATTTTAAAATATACTTTTTAATATATTGATGTGTTAAAAATTACAATTTATAAGATTTTTCATACGATTTTTGAATATTTAAATGTTTTGTCGAAATTATCGAATTAATGTAATCTAATTTAACTTTAAAATTTATTCGAGTTGACTTTCAAAACGTAACATAACAAATAAAAATAGACAAAGAGATAAACGATAAAATATCAAATTAATATAATCTAATTTAGCTTTAAAAATCAGTCAAATTAATTTTTTAAAAACATAACGTAAACGGTATGATTTTTTCCTCTTCTTTTTAGATGCCCAAGATGGGCCTTTAATTATTAATGATAAACAACAACAAAAACGGGGAAAATATGCGGCTAATCAAATTTATACTATTTAATTACTCATCATAGTTGTAGTTTGCTACAATTACCACTCGCGATTAACAGTATACATTAATTACGTGTGCTGACTTTGAGTTTGTTTAATTAGTCACATTTGTATATGTATAATTCGTCAGGATATACAAATACATATGTATAATATACAATTATTTAAGGAAATATTATATATGATGACAAATTAATATATCAACTTAAATAATATAACTATACTTTGATTTAATTGTGCCATGTAGCAAACTATTTGTCCTCCATCAAACTCTCGCTTGCCACTCTCCCTCTCTCGCTCGCTCCCTCTCACTTTTATACAATTACATGTGTATAAAATATATTTTTGTATGTATAAAGCGAGAAAAGTTGTGAATATACATATATTTTCGTCCCCTCTCTCCTCTCTCCCACATTTCGCTCGTCACCCTCGCCTCTAACGCTTATACAAACAGAAACGAAATAATTGTGTTTTTGTTTGTATAAAGTAAGAGGAAAATGTATATACACTTACAAATACATATATTTTCGTCCTATACACTTATAATTATACAATATAAATATTCCTCTGCCTAATTTTCTTATGACTTTCTCTCTTTCTCGATTTATATATACACAAATTATACAATTTATTTTTGTGTTTGCTATATGTAAAAGTTACCCATTATTTAACTTATATACATATACAATTCACCTCTCTAGCTCGCCTCTCTCCTCCCTCTCCCAATATCGTTTGCCATTTATATAAATGTATATATATAATATATAATTATATACGATTATATATATATATATATATATAATTCACCTCTCTCCCACTCTCTGCCCTCTCTCGATCTCGCTCGCTTCTCTACTCTCTACTTTCTCTCCCAATCTTTCTTGTCATATATACAAATGCATATGTATAATATACAATTATCTAACCAATATACATATACAATTCATCTTTCTCCCACTGTTTTCCCCCTACCTCTCGCCTCTCTCCTAGTCTCGCTCGCCCCTCTCCTCCATATAATATATAGCTATAAATTGTAATTATCAAACTATAATTATGGAGAGTAATTAATTATTTTTAAGTGGTTATAAATAAAAGTTAAAAAAAAAATTACAAATGGTTCAGCTCAAAAGTGTCCAATCCCGAATAGCAAGGTGTGTGGCTCTATGCACCGATAGTTGCACCTAATTAGTAAATTGTCCAATTAATCCACACATAAAATATGAAAAAATTTATAAAGATTGTGAATGTAAATATTATAAAATATATTAAAGGTTTTTAGTAAAAATTGTGAATAATATTATAAAGTACAATTATTATTACCATATTAAAGTTTTTTAGTAAATAATAATAATAGTGAGAACATAGGACAAGTGTTTTTAAATGATTAATACAGGTTGTCATAGAGTTAGAAGGTCTTCGAATTGACTTAAAAGTTAGTTAAAATCTACTTTAGAGTCAGTTTTTGACTTTTGAAAGTGTTTCACAGAAATAAAAATGACTTAAAATAAATTACGAAGTGTTAGATAAGATTTAAAATAAGTTTAAATGACTTAAAATAAGTTCAAAATAAAAAATAGGTTTTCCCCTACTTTTTATTTTTGACTTAAAAATCATTTCAATTTGGCATTTTATGTTTGACTTAAAAATTATTTTTTTAAGCCAATGAAAACAGGCTATTACTTGTTTTTTTGAGATCAATATGACCAGACATCGTTGAAACATTTAAAAAAACCTTCAAAGTTTAAAATTGGAGAGAAAGTAACATTTCTTTAGTAGTGTTATTTTTTTACATCACTCACTTTTGTAAATAAATTTGACCAACAAAATAGAAAAAATAATCAACATAAAAAAAGACACTGATAGTCTTTCCTCTTGAGGTTATGACTGTAAATGATGAACACCATTTAAGTACAATTTCATAAAAAAAGACTCTGATAGTCTTTTCTCTTGAGGTTATGACTGTAAATGATGAACACCATTTAAGTACAATTTTTCTCTTAATTATTCATACTTGAAATATAGAATGTACATGACACTAATAATAATTACTATAAATATTTTAATATTTTATCTTTATACATAATGTTATATATCGTTAAAAATAGTATTGCTTAATTAATATTTGAGTTATAAGGCTATTAGAGAGGTAATTTTACAAATGAACGTCGACATTTTTATGAGTAGGGGTGGGCATAAACACCGAAAAACCGAAACACCGAACCGAACCGAATTTTTTTAGAATTTCGGTTTCGGTATTTCGGTTTTCGGTATTCGGTTTAATTTTTTGTATTTTTCGGTATTTCGGTTCGGTTTTCGGTACATATTACTTTGGAATTCGGTATTTCGGTTTAAACCGAAATTTTATGCTATAATTTAATAATTTATAAATTATATTATATTAATTAATAATTATTAATATTAAATATTTTTTTTTTAAAAAAAAAGTAAAAAACCCTAATACCCTACTTTTGACTCTTTCTCTTTCTACCAGACTTTTTCAATTCACCCCTCATCTTCTTGACTTCTTCCTCTTCATTTCTCTCTTCCTCTTCTACTCCAAGTCTCCAACCACTCTTGTCTTCCCTGAAGCACCGCCAGGCGCCAGCCACAACAAGGGAAGCAGCAGCCAGCCGCAGCCAGCAGCACAGCAGCAACCAGCTGCCGCCCGCCAGCAGCACAGCAGCAGCCAGCCGCAGACAACAGCAGCCAGCCGCCAGCCGCGACAACACTCAGCAGCAGCCAGCCGCCGGACGTGCAGCAGTCAGCAGTCAGCCAGCCGCCGGACGTGCAGCAGTCAGCCAGCCGCCGGACGAATTAAACAGGCCCATTAAAAAACCGAACCGAATTAATAAAAACCGAAACGAATTAACAAAAACCGAACCGAATCGAAATATTTCGGTTCGGTATTCGGTACGCAATTTATAAAAACCGAAAATCGAAAAAACCGAAAAAAACCGAACCGAACCGAAAAACCGAATGCCCACCCCTATTTATGAGTAGAATGTTATGGAGACAAAAAACCAAAAATTAGTTCTTAATAAAATTAGGCCGTTACAGAGAAATATTGTTATAGTTACGAATGATGGTCAAATAGAGATTTGGGTGTATGTCAAATACTTAGCTTGACCAATTCTTTGTCTTAGATATATATATATTTCAATAGCATAATTTAATGTTAATATATGAACAAAATCACCTACGGAAGAAAATATTTTATTTCTTTAAGTTTCTTTCTTCTCTTTGTAAATTGTAGTCTTTTTTTTTATGTCGCATACAAGTCATATAATTGATGTCTAATGAAAGTATCTAATATATTATAGAAGTAGTATATTGATATAAAACGTAAACTATTTCAATTAAAAAAATTATAGATGAATAATATTTGATTAATTTGATTTAAGATCATTTTATGGTCAATTACTATTATTTTTTTATCTATTTTATATGGCCTAGCAATGAATGTATCTTGTGATATAATATTTTCTCTGATTAAATTAACACAAAATTATAGGAAATTCATACTTAAAATTTTTCATAGTCAGTATTCAACATAAAAAAAATATTTATGTAACAATTCATAGCTAATGAAAAAGGAAGACAAAAATATTTGTCCATGCTATATTCCTTTTGATTGAAATCTCTTGTCTCCAACACTTTACCTTCTCCATTCACTTTACTTACATATCTATTTAAGAGTAATTATATATGCATACGCGCGCACACACACACATATACCTAAGGCCCGCATGTGGCGCCACCAGAAAGAAGGATTCTCTTTTAATTTATTTCTTTCCAAAATTAGTTTTTCTCTTTCATGAAAAATTGTGATTTTTAGGAAAAGTTGTTACTTTTATTAAAAGTTATGACTTAAATAAAAAAGGTGTAACTTTTATGAAAGACTGTAACTTTTTTAAAAGGTTGTGACCTTTCCGAAGAATTGTGATTTTTTCCAAAGAGTTGTGACCTTTCCGATAAGACACAATAAGCATTAGTTCACATCACCCTTTTGTCTATAAATAAAGGGATTTCCTGTCATTTTAAACCAGCGAAAATTCTGAACTACTTCTTCCTCTGCACAATTAAATATTTGTATACTTTAATTAAACATGCTTCTAAACAACACATAATTGTGAAAGGTCTTTATACTAAGTGTGTGAACATACAAATAGGCAAAGTTATGATAACAAAGTTTTAATTATGAGAGGGAAAAAATTATAACATGGATGCAAACTTTAATGTTGAATTGATTTTAAGTGAGCAACAATTTCTGATATAAAAGATTTTACTTTATTTCCAAGTAGCAAAGGAATAATCCCACATGCATATATATGGAAAAAAACAAGCAAATTTAATTATTAAGCATAAAATACTATTTAAGAGAGCAACTTTTATTTATTCACGGAAGAAAATTAAATTTTAGAACAAGAATATATTTATAATTGATGTTGAAAATTATTCTAAGTAAGTGACTAGTTTGTTTTAATGCATAAAATTATTTTTTTAGAACATTGATGGACTTACAAATTGGTTATTAATGTTAAAAATTT